CGGTTTTCCTTTTTCTTTAACTGTATATTTTTGGGTGTATGTATGTGTAACGGGGCTAACGAGACGTGAGACGTGCGGATCCATATGCAATGCTTTATTTCCAAGACGTGGTCATATAACAGGCATGGGTCAAACAATGGCAAACAGGTACAACACAGGCAAGACAAAGAGTAATCCTAGGACAAGCATGGGTCATCGATCGGCGAACGTAATCCAGAGGGCTTGACAAAAGGGGTAATCTGTAAACACGAGCAATAGTCAAAGGACCGGAAAACAGGCAAGGCAAAACTAGACTAAGACTAGGACTTGGAAATAAACAATGACTAACGAAATGGCTCCAAAACGTAGCTATCACTGACTAGCAATATGCGCATATAATACTTGGCGATTTGAACGAGGAAGTCCAGGGCTTATAAAGCATGTCTGATTGGATTCAGCTGTGTGTGTAATCAGTGCAATGGATGATGGGAACTGTAGTCCGGAATGACATGTAACAGTCTGTGTGGTGTGAGAGTCAATGTAGTGAGTGCGTGACCTCTGGTGGTGAGTGAACGGAAGTTCATAGACTGGATTCGTGACAGTCGGGCAGCTGCTTGAAGATCTCGCCTTTGGAGAAGACTGTTGATATTATACTCAAAATTTAAGAATTACTACTTAAAAAATAAGATTACCCCAGAATGCATTGCTAGCCCACCCCAACACTTACAATAATAATGATAAATGCTGACCAGTAATTAATTGATTTTATATATAATTTTAGTAAAACAAGCAAAATGTCATTTCTTTTGTCAAATGCCATTGCTATGCATGAATACACACTAGACAAATGCAGCCAATGTGAATACATCTCAATTTTCAGTAAAGTAATGAATTAATGCATAGATTAATGAAACAATTATATTTTATTTACTGACGACAACAACAGGAAACATGAATATAGGAGTAAAAGAATAAAAGTAACCATGAAAATAAATAAATACACGTTAACAACACATGAAACAAAGCTTTATTCAAACATATTGTTCTGACAATGATATATTTACAGGCGGTGAACCCACATCTACTGCCATCTCAACACAGCTGTGCCAGTTGCATGAAACACTGACCACCATGCCCACCTTCATCTGCATTTGCCGTCCATCATGACCCTCATTGCTGTATTCAGACTGGAATCTGCATTATAGACAGCTGCAGTGCAACGGTCCTCAACGGTCCTCAATGAAACAACCCCTCCTAACTTTACTTTCATGAGTGTCTGCAGGACTGTTAGGAGAGGTGGAGGTGTAGCTGCTCTATTTAAAGATGGTGCATGCAATTATTTCTTCTGGAATCAAAACCATTTTTTTTCTCTCTCTCTTTTTGTTCTTTAAATTTGGAGGAGCATTTTCGAGTGTCCATACCACCACAGGCCGACTCTGGCAAACAACACCAATTATATAAGCTAAAAAATTGCCTACCTTATTGTTTAGTGGCCACTGTTAGTGTTGTTCGTCAAGCCAGCCCAAAGTGGTCCTCCACCCTCTGCTCCTTTCCAATCCTGTTCGTGACCCCAATTTGTGGTGGCTTCTGCTGATGTTGTGAGGAATCGTTCTTAAAGTCTTGGGGTTTTGATGCTAGAAGAGATTTTATTATCAAGAGACAATAAAACCGAGAAAGCTCTGCAGAACAATCTATAGAGTCTGTGTCTGTACTCTCTTTTATACAGTGTTTCCCGAAGGCGTGTCCATGTTCAATACATTTCATACATATGATTATTTTTTATCAACTCTTTTACCTCTTTTGGCTGTGTCCCCAGCCTGCTTTTAGGATGTAGAATTTATTTTAAGTGAAACGAGGAGGCCTAATCATATATTTTGTCTAATGTCAAGACATGCAACTTTACCATATACTGTATTTTTGTAATGTCTGCACCAAGGAGGTCTCATCGTATATTTTGTGTAATGTCCAAATAGAGTGTGCAGCTCCACCATATACTGTACCCCTGCACTGTCTGCACATTCCATTCTCATGCAGGCCTCACACACAGGCAGATACATGATTATAACAGTAGAATAACTTGATACATAAATGGCTAGATTCACATTGATTATACTTGATTAGTTAATAAAAGTCTTCCACACTATCGCTGTGTGTTTGCTCCAAACATTCGTGTGATGCTCTCCATGAGCACCACTACCTATAAAACAATTAAACAGAGTAAAACGTGTTACATCTCATGGTGTCAGCATTCAATTTCTTGCTAAATTTAATTTCATATGTTTACAATTACATGCTTATTTTTGATATAGCTTCATTACTTATGTGGTGTAGTAGGCTAAACCACTGAACTGAACTGACGGGGGCTTGAGGCCCTGCATTGATTACCAGACCCTGAACTCTCAAACTATCAAGCTGCCATACCCACTTCCCCTGGTCCCGGCTGCCCTCGAGGAACTCCGTGGAGCTCGCATTTTCTCCAAGCTGGACCTGCAGGGTGCATACAACCTCATTCGCATCCGGGAGGGTGACGAGTGGAAAACAGCCTTCATTATTCCATCTGGCCACTATGAATACCAGGTCATGCTCTACGGCCTTGTTAACTCACTGTCAGTCTTCCAGGGGTTCATGAACGAGGTGTTCCGGGAGTTCCTCCATCATTTTGTGATCGTCTACGTCGACGACATCCTGATATACTCCCGGAACCTGGCCGAACATCGCCAACATGTGATGCAGGTCCTAGAACAGCTCAGGAAATACCACCTCTACCTGAAGCTTGTGAAATGCGAGTTCCACCGGACCACGGTCCAGTTCCTCAGCTACGTCATCAGTCTCGAAGGTATCCAGATGGACCAAGGGAAAGTTTAAGCCATCCATGAGTGGCCTCAGCCCCAATCAGTCAAAGAACTCCAGCGATTCCTTGGACTTTCCAACTTCTACTGTTGCTTCATCCAGAACTTCAGTCTCCTCATGGCACCCCTAACCTTATTGCTCCGCGGAAAGCCCAAGTCTCTGTCCTGGAGCCCCAAAGCCCAAGCCTCCTTTCAACTCTTCAAGGAAGCCTTCAGCACTGCTCCCATCCTCAAACACCCGGACCCGCAACTCCCTTTCATCGTCGAAGTGGACGCTTCAACCACGGAAGTGGGAGCAGTGCTTTCTCAGTATCACGGAGAGCCTCCTCGTCTCCATCCTATTACTCAAGGAAACTCACCCCAGTGGAGCAGAACTATGACACTGGTAACTGGGAACTGCTCGCAAACAAACTGGCTCTAGAAGAGTGGCGGTACTGGTTGGGGGGATCTCAACACGCCTTCACAGTGATTACTGATGACAAGAACCTAGAATACCTACGAAGTGCCAAAAGACTCAACCCATGACAAGCACGCTGTGCACTCTTCTTCACCAGATTTAATTTCTCCATCAGTTATAGACCTGGTGAGCGTAATGTTAAAGCTGACTCTCTCTCGCATTCATTCCCCGGATGCTCCCACCAAACCCGAACCCATCCTCCCTCCAGCTGTCAAGGTCTGTCCCATCCAATGGGACCTTGACGATCAGATCCGCATCACCACCCGCTAAGAGCCTGCTCCACTGGGAGGCCCAGAAGGGAAAACCTATGTTCCATCCTCCCTGCTTCAATCCCTTCTGGGCTCGCTTCATGAGTCTCCGGGCTCTGGACATCCAGGCAGCCAGCGCACCCTCTCGCTCCTTCAGGCTCATTACTGCTGGCCCAGTATGACCCAGGATGTCATCCAGTACGTCCACAGCTGCTCAAGTCTGTGCCATATCCAAGAACCCTAGGCAGCTCCCGTTTGGAAAGCTGGTTCCCTTGCCCATCCCACGGAGACCCTGGTCACACGTTGGTGTTGACACTGTCACGGATCTTCCCAACTCGGATGGTAACACCTATATTCTGGTTGCCGTTGATTGATTCTCCAAGGCATGCTGTCTGATCCCTCTCAAGGGTCTCCCTACGGTCATGGAGACAGCAGAAAGTTTATTCCACTATGTCTTCAGAAATTATGGCATCCCAGAAGATATCATCTCTGACAGGGGACTTCAGTTCATCTCTCACGTCTAGAGAGCATTCTGCAAGCTCCTAGGGGTCACGGCCAGCCTGTCGTCAAGATCAGTGTTGGGCAAGTTACTTCCAAAATATAATACATTATATATTACTCATTACTTCCTTTTAAAAGTAATTAGTTACATTACAATATTACCGTCTCTGAATTGTAATGCGTTACACTACTTTTAAGTTACTTATGAGTTACTTTCACTTTCAAGCACAAACCGCAATTAGCCTACATTCAGAAATAATAGCGGTAAATAACACGGAATGTTATAGGCCCTAATGAACAAGCAATAAACACAATAGCAAACCTATAGGCTATTTTAGCTCTCCTCACTCCACAACAAATCCTTTAAATTTAACTGTATTCAGAACAAAACAAGAATGAAAAATATAAGTTGCTAAACAAGCCAAAACGAATTAATTTAGAGCGAAACCGAAAGCAAACGCCTTTGTTCTCACGCAGCCTACCTCTATCATTCGGCACGAATCTAAATGTTTTTACATATTCACGATGTATTTGAATGATAAACTATTAGCCTATTTAGTATGTAAACCATGCTTTTGTAGTCTACTAAACGTGCTTTCCGGAAAAAAAAGAAAAAGAAAATATCACTCTTCACATGAACAAATATGCTTGGCCCGAGCTCAGGCTGAATGACATGGACTGTACGGACGATTTTAATTAACCAGTTTATCTATATTTGGTTGACTATTTTATTCTGATAATGAAAGGCTGCAATGTTTGCAATGCTGTATGTGTGTGAGTGAGGCGCTGGCGCAATCGAACAGCGGAAACATATAATAATCCGTAATTTTTGGTCATACAGATCCTTCTAAACTGCAACGCGTTTACTTTAATTTTAAGATGCGCTTGTCATCTCGGTTTCCTTTCCGTGAACTTTTGCAGAGAGTGCCACAAAAATGAACCAAACTCAGCATATTTTACATTATTGTCTTTTTTCTTTCTTTTTGTTAATCTGTTAATTATTTGAGTCAAATACATTTCATGTATTAATTCCTTTTATATGTAGACTATGATTTAATAAAAACAAATGGTTATTTTTAGTTAAACTTAATTTCTGTTGCTTGTCTGCGCTCATCCGCCGCATTCTTTCTCTTCTCCGACCCCGCAGTATGCCCATCTCACAAATGTAGAATCTGTCTGTCATCTCAACCATCGAATTACAGCAACAGGAAATAGACAAAGTATTTTACCCACGGAATTTATTGTCTGGTGCTGTTTTGCAGTGGTTCTGATTTTTAGTTAAAATATGTTGTTGTAACGTGCATTACTGAGATTGTAACAAGTAATAATATTACCCAAATTTGATTAATAATGCGTTATATTACTGCGTTACAGCAAAAAGTAATATACTACTGTAATATTACTTTTGTAATGCGTTACTCCCAACACTGGTCAAGATACCACCCACAGACCAACGGCTAGATTGAGCGAAAGATCCAAGAGCTCGGACGGTACCTCAGGTCAAACTGCCATGAAGATCAGCACAGCTGGAGCCGGTTCCTCCCGTGGTTCGAGTATGCACAGAACTCCCTCAAGCAGAACACCACAGTATTCACACTGTTCCAGTGCATACTCGGGTACCAGCCTCCCCTGTTTCCCTGGACGGAGGAACCCTCCGAAGTTCCAGCTGTGGACCACTGTTTCCGGGTGAGCGAGAGGGTCTGGGACTCAGCTCACGTCCAACTCCAGCAGGCAGTGTGGAGACACAAGGACTTCACAGACTCCCGCCGTTCTAACGCACCAGTATATCATCCAGGAGATAGAGTCTGGCTCTCCACGAGGGATCTACGTCTCCGCCTGTCTTGCAAGAAGCTGAGTGACGGGACGGTCGGCTCGAGTACCTCGTGGACTGGGAGGGGTATGGTCCAGAGGAAAGATCCTGGGTGGCCCGGGATGACATTCTAGATCTTTCCTTGCTCAGCCGCCCCTAGAAGAGGGGGTACTGTCAGGGAGTCACAATCACCTCAGCCACCACAGTCCCCGCCCCCAACGCTCACCAGATCACACTCACCTGACTCTGATTGCACACACCTGTCCATGCTCATCACGCTCCCTATATCAGTGCACAGATCCCTCAGCTTATTGTCTGGTCTACCATTTGCTATGTCAAGCTTACCTGACTCCCTACCTGGATACTTACCTCGACGGTCCTCCAACGTCTCCATTCCCGCTGTTCCTTCTGCTCCATCACTCCACCGCTCCTGAGACTGCCTGCAATACAGAGACTGTATCACCGCACAGATAATAACCTTGATCTCATTCCATACCCATCTTACTTACCATTGGACTCTTGCTCTGTATACATCTGTCGATATCAGTAAACTGGTTGATTCGTATCACTTACCTCAGCTTCCTAGTGTGATTGCTGACATATATAAAGATGTTATATTTGTGCAATGATTTGAATTTCAATCCAACTATTACTAAAACTAGTAAGAGATTTACCATGTGGTTGCAAAGAGATTTGTCAATTCAGGGGCAGGTACTTCTTTCAAAAGCTGAAGGAATCTCTAGATTAGTCTATGCATCATTATCTTTGGATATTCCCCCTAAAGTTACCAAACAACTGGATAAAATGCTTATGGATTTTATCTGGTGAAACAAGCCACATTACCTGAGATTTTTTTTTAATTTTAGAGGTTTAGAGGTGTTGAGTTATGATACTCTAAACAATGTATTTAAAATAAATTGGCTTATTCAACATTTAAAGAATAAAGACAGTATTTGGAACTCATTTCACAACTATCTATTCATGCAATTGGGTGACCTCGAATTTTTGTTGAAGTGCAGTTATTCAGTTGAAAAAATAACGGTTAAGCTTGCAAAATTTCATAAACAAGCTCTTATGGCATGGACTCTGGCCTATAAACATAATTTCTCACTAAGGAGATACTATATTTGGAATAACAACGACATCCTATACAAAAATACATCTCTATTTTTTAATTGCTGGTTTGGTAACAATATTATATTAGTTAGCCAGATCTTAAACAATGATGGAGTTTTATTAACATAAGGCATTTTTGAATATATTTAAAGTACCAGTTAGACCTAAGGAATTTGCAGTTCTAATGGATTCATTCGTTGTTTGATTTATTTGATCTGTTGTGAACTCAGGATTTTGTTGTGTTCTTGAACAGAAAGAGAACTGAAGTTGTTTAAAACCTTTTGATTATTTCTGTGTTATATTAACTAGTATTTTTATGTTCCTTTTGATTTAAGGGAATGTAGGGGGAGGGTGCCATTTTTGTTTGTACTTCTCTTTTTCTCCTGGTTATGGGGCAGACAGGAAGAGAGGGAAGCTTTATGTGCTTTATTTTTGGATTATCTTTTTCTAGGTAATTTATAAATATTCTTGGGGTAGTTATTTTGGTTTTGTTATTTTGGCCTAGCTCTCCCCTGGGGCCCGTTCTTCGTACGTCGCTAACTCAGTTAGCTGGATTTGATTGTTCATTTGGCATGATCTTGGATTGTTTGGTTCTTCGAAGCTCATCCTGGACTTGCTGTCATAGCAACAGGTCCGTAAGCTTAAACCTGCTCGGGAGCAGTCTGGCATCTTTCAAATCATCTCAGATTTATTAAGCGAGTTATGAAGAACGGGTCCCTGAAGTCTTTGTTCCCTATATGTTTGTTAACACTTCCTTTGAGATTACGGTTTCGGTTTATCTTTTCAAATTAAAAAAGATATTAATTCGAACTGGTGTTTGTGTAGACTCTGGGACGGGAGGTTGGATTGCCCTGGTTCTCCAAGAGTTTTTTTTTTTCCTTTAGATATTTTCTTATTTTTTTACTGGCTCCCCAGCCCTAGATGGGTAGTTATGTAACAATTGGGGGCTCATCTGTTGTTGTTTTTTTTGCTTATTTGAGACAATGGTGTTAATTGATTTGATAACTTGGAGATGTGTCTCTTGTTAGTGAATCCATTATGACACTTGCTGCTGAACACCATTTCAATTTGTTGTCAAGTAGTCCTTTCTCTAAGACTTTGTTTGGAAGTCTTTGAAATCTTGTGGGAGAAATTAATTGTGAATGTATGGATTGATTTGATAGAATTCTCTTAATCCTACTACAGAAGTTTGTGACCGCTAATGGTACAATTAAAATATTTAAGTATTTTGTAGATTTAGTTAAAAAAAAAACTACATTACGTTTTCTTTAACTGTAGCAGCTGCTAAATATATTCAGTCAACAGACTTGCTGCTTGCTGCTGTTTGTTACTCTGAATTTATTCTAAATCATTTAAGGCACAGCTCTATTTTTGTTTTTTATATTTTATAGTCAGATGTTTTGTTCCATCCGTTGCTTTATTACTGTCAATCACAGCATTGACTCGTAATTTACACTAGCGTTTGTAATTCCTGAAACATTATACTGTGTAGGCTTACTAGTAAAAGTTCAAAAAGTACAACTTTAAAATTGTACTTCTTAAAAGTGGATGACGTGTACAGAGAAACTGACTGCAGCTCATGAGGCAGATGCATCGGTCACTCTTGACCATCTGGAGAACCTCCATGAGAAGACGAGTATAAACTTTTGCAAAGGGTGCGGAAAACAGCTGCGGCAAAAATGTGAAAAATGTACATTTTAGGCAGAACATAGCACACCTCACAGCAATCAGCCGATTCAATGCTGATTGATTCAGTGTTCTGAACGGATCGGTTGAGCTAAGTTTCATTAGCCCACGAAGAACACAAATAAAATAAAAACCACCCTATTAAAAATAGAAATAGTCACAGCTAATAGAAAACTTATGAGAACATGGCTTCAGAATAAATAATTTGCAATAAACAAACTACACACATCTCAATCAACTCCTCAAAATCGCAATTCTCTTTATTTTTAATTTTTTTTGGGGGGGAGGGGCCAAGAGAAAGACAGAAATCTCTTAACTGTTTGAGCAAACATGGAAAACATGCCATATGAATAAAGCACTGAATTGAAAAGATCACCAGTAAGGGTTATGCAAAATGCCCATGATCATTTCAATAACCACTTCCCCGACCTTTAACACTTCCCCGACCATGACCACTTTCCCGACCACTTCCTTTACCTTGACCACTTCCCTGACCACTTCCCTGACTACTTCCCCAGCCACTTCCCTGACCTGGACCACTTCCCTGACTACTTCCCCAGCCACTTCCCTGACCTGGACCACTTCCCTGACTACTTCCCCAGCCACTTCCCTGACCTGGACCACTTCCCTGACTACTTCCCCAGCCACTTCCCTGACCTGGACCACTTCCCTGACTACTTCCCCAGCCACTTCCCTGACCTGGACCACTTCCCTGACTACTTCCCCAGCCACTTCCCTGACCTGGACCACTTCCCTGACTACTTCCCCAGCCACTTCCCTGACCTGGACCACTTCCCTGACTACTTCCCCAGCCACTTCCCTGACCTGGACCACTTCCCTGACTACTTCCCCAGCCACTTCCCTGACCTGGACCACTTCCCTGACTACTTCCCCAGCCACTTCCCTGACCTGGACCACTTCCCTGACTACTTCCCCAGCCACTTCCCTGACCTGGACCACTTCCCTGACTACTTCCCCAGCCACTTCCCTGACCTGGACCACTTCCCTGACTACTTCCCCAGCCACTTCCCTGACCTGGACCACTTCCCTGACTACTTCCCCAGCCACTTCCCTGACCTGGACCACTTCCCTGACTACTTCCCCAGCCACTTCCCTGACCTGGACCACTTCCCTGACTACTTCCCCAGCCACTTCCCTGACCTGGACCACTTCCCTGACTACTTCCCCAGCCACTTCCCTGACCTGGACCACTTCCCTGACTACTTCCCCAGCCACTTCCCTGACCTGGACCACTTCCCTGACTACTTCCCCAGCCACTTCCCTGACCTGGACCACTTCCCTGACTACTTCCCCAGCCACTTCCCTGACCTGGACCACTTCCCTGACTACTTCCCCAGCCACTTCCCTGACCTGGACCACTTCCCTGACTACTTCCCCAGCCACTTCCCTGACCTGGACCACTTCCCTGACTACTTCCCCAGCCACTTCCCTGACCTGGACCACTTCCCTGACTACTTCCCCAGCCACTTCCCTGACCTGGACCACTTCCCTGACTACTTCCCCAGCCACTTCCCTGACCTGGACCACTTCCCTGACTACTTCCCCAGCCACTTCCCTGACCTGGACCACTTCCCTGACTACTTCCCCAGCCACTTCCCTGACCTGGACCACTTCCCTGACTACTTCCCCAGCCACTTCCCTGACCTGGACCACTTCCCTGACTACTTCCCCAGCCACTTCCCTGACCTGGACCACTTCCCTGACTACTTCCCCAGCCACTTCCCTGACCTGGACCACTTCCCTGACTACTTCCCCAGCCACTTCCCTGACCTGGACCACTTCCCTGACTACTTCCCCAGCCACTTCCCTGACCTGGACCACTTCCCTGACTACTTCCCCAGCCACTTCCCTGACCTGGACCACTTCCCTGACTACTTCCCCAGCCACTTCCCTGACCTGGACCACTTCCCTGACTACTTCCCCAGCCACTTCCCTGACCTGGACCACTTCCCTGACTACTTCCCCAGCCACTTCCCTGACCTGGACCACTTCCCTGACTACTTCCCCAGCCACTTCCCTGACCTGGACCACTTCCCTGACTACTTCCCCAGCCACTTCCCTGACCTGGACCACTTCCCTGACTACTTCCCCAGCCACTTCCCTGACCTGGACCACTTCCCTGACTACTTCCCCAGCCACTTCCCTGACCTGGACCACTTCCCTGACTACTTCCCCAGCCACTTCCCTGACCTGGACCACTTCCCTGACTACTTCCCCAGCCACTTCCCTGACCTGGACCACTTCCCTGACTACTTCCCCAGCCACTTCCCTGACCTGGACCACTTCCCTGACTACTTCCCCAGCCACTTCCCTGACCTGGACCACTTCCCTGACTACTTCCCCAGCCACTTCCCTGACCTGGACCACTTCCCTGACTACTTCCCCAGCCACTTCCCTGACCTGGACCACTTCCCTGACTACTTCCCCAGCCACTTCCCTGACCTGGACCACTTCCCTGACTACTTCCCCAGCCACTTCCCTGACCTGGACCACTTCCCTGACTACTTCCCCAGCCACTTCCCTGACCTGGACCACTTCCCTGACTACTTCCCCAGCCACTTCCCTGACCTGGACCACTTCCCTGACTACTTCCCCAGCCACTTCCCTGACCTGGACCACTTCCCTGACTACTTCCCCAGCCACTTCCCTGACCTGGACCACTTCCCTGACTACTTCCCCAGCCACTTCCCTGACCTGGACCACTTCCCTGACTACTTCCCCAGCCACTTCCCTGACCTGGACCACTTCCCTGACTACTTCCCCAGCCACTTCCCTGACCTGGACCACTTCCCTGACTACTTCCCCAGCCACTTCCCTGACCTGGACCACTTCCCTGACTACTTCCCCAGCCACTTCCCTGACCTGGACCACTTCCCTGACTACTTCCCCAGCCACTTCCCTGACCTGGACCACTTCCCTGACTACTTCCCCAGCCACTTCCCTGACCTGGACCACTTCCCTGACTACTTCCCCAGCCACTTCCCTGACCTGGACCACTTCCCTGACTACTTCCCCAGCCACTTCCCTGACCTGGACCACTTCCCTGACTACTTCCCCAGCCACTTCCCTGACCTGGACCACTTCCCTGACTACTTCCCCAGCCACTTCCCTGACCTGGACCACTTCCCTGACTACTTCCCCAGCCACTTCCCTGACCTGGACCACTTCCCTGACTACTTCCCCAGCCACTTCCCTGACCTGGACCACTTCCCTGACTACTTCCCCAGCCACTTCCCTGACCTGGACCACTTCCCTGACTACTTCCCCAGCCACTTCCCTGACCTGGACCACTTCCCTGACTACTTCCCCAGCCACTTCCCTGACCTGGACCACTTCCCTGACTACTTCCCCAGCCACTTCCCTGACCTGGACCACTTCCCTGACTACTTCCCCAGCCACTTCCCTGACCTGGACCACTTCCCTGACTACTTCCCCAGCCACTTCCCTGACCTGGACCACTTCCCTGACTACTTCCCCAGCCACTTCCCTGACCTGGACCACTTCCCTGACTACTTCCCCAGCCACTTCCCTGACCTGGACCACTTCCCTGACTACTTCCCCAGCCACTTCCCTGACCTGGACCACTTCCCTGACTACTTCCCCAGCCACTTCCCTGACCTGGACCACTTCCCTGACTACTTCCCCAGCCACTTCCCTGACCTGGACCACTTCCCTGACTACTTCCCCAGCCACTTCCCTGACCTGGACCACTTCCCTGACTACTTCCCCAGCCACTTCCCTGACCTGGACCACTTCCCTGACTACTTCCCCAGCCACTTCCCTGACCTGGACCACTTCCCTGACTACTTCCCCAGCCACTTCCCTGACCTGGACCACTTCCCTGACTACTTCCCCAGCCACTTCCCTGACCTGGACCACTTCCCTGACTACTTCCCCAGCCACTTCCCTGACCTGGACCACTTCCCTGACTACTTCCCCAGCCACTTCCCTGACCTGGACCACTTCCCTGACTACTTCCCCAGCCACTTCCCTGACCTGGACCACTTCCCTGACTACTTCCCCAGCCACTTCCCTGACCTGGACCACTTCCCTGACTACTTCCCCAGCCACTTCCCTGACCTGGACCACTTCCCTGACTACTTCCCCAGCCACTTCCCTGACCTGGACCACTTCCCTGACTACTTCCCCAGCCACTTCCCTGACCTGGACCACTTCCCTGACTACTTCCCCAGCCACTTCCCTGACCTGGACCACTTCCCTGACTACTTCCCCAGCCACTTCCCTGACCTGGACCACTTCCCTGACTACTTCCCCAGCCACTTCCCTGACCTGGACCACTTCCCTGACTACTTCCCCAGCCACTTCCCTGACCTGGACCACTTCCCTGACTACTTCCCCAGCCACTTCCCTGACCTGGACCACTTCCCTGACTACTTCCCCAGCCACTTCCCTGACCTGGACCACTTCCCTGACTACTTCCCCAGCCACTTCCCTGACCTGGACCACTTCCCTGACTACTTCCCCAGCCACTTCCCTGACCTGGACCACTTCCCTGACTACTTCCCCAGCCACTTCCCTGACCTGGACCACTTCCCTGACTACTTCCCCAGCCACTTCCCTGACCTGGACCACTTCCCTGACTACTTCCCCAGCCACTTCCCTGACCTGGACCACTTCCCTGACTACTTCCCCAGCCACTTCCCTGACCTGGACCACTTCCCTGACTACTTCCCCAGCCACTTCCCTGACCTGGACCACTTCCCTGACTACTTCCCCAGCCACTTCCCTGACCTGGACCACTTCCCTGACTACTTCCCCAGCCACTTCCCTGACCTGGACCACTTCCCTGACTACTTCCCCAGCCACTTCCCTGACCTGGACCACTTCCCTGACTACTTCCCCAGCCACTTCCCTGACCTGGACCACTTCCCTGACTACTTCCCCAGCCACTTCCCTGACCTGGACCACTTCCCTGACTACTTCCCCAGCCACTTCCCTGACCTGGACCACTTCCCTGACTACTTCCCCAGCCACTTCCCTGACCTGGACCACTTCCCTGACTACTTCCCCAGCCACTTCCCTGACCTGGACCACTTCCCTGACTACTTCCCCAGCCACTTCCCTGACCTGGACCACTTCCCTGACTACTTCCCCAGCCACTTCCCTGACCTGGACCACTTCCCTGACTACTTCCCCAGCCACTTCCCTGACCTGGACCACTTCCCTGACTACTTCCCCAGCCACTTCCCTGACCTGGACCACTTCCCTGACTACTTCCCCAGCCACTTCCCTGACCTGGACCACTTCCCTGACTACTTCCCCAGCCACTTCCCTGACCTGGACCACTTCCCTGACTACTTCCCCAGCCACTTCCCTGACCTGGACCACTTCCCTGACTACTTCCCCAGCCACTTCCCTGACCTGGACCACTTCCCTGACTACTTCCCCAGCCACTTCCCTGACCTGGACCACTTCCCTGACTACTTCCCCAGCCA